TTTTTTTGAGACAGAGTCTCTCTCTGTCACTCAGGCTGGAGTGCAATGGTGCAATCTCAACTCACCACAACCTCCGCCCCCTGGGTTCAAACAATTCTCCTGCCTCAGTCTCCCAAGTAGCTGGGACTACAGGTGGGCATCACCACACCCAGCTAATGTTTGTATTTTAGTAGAGACCGGGTTTCACCATGTTGGCCAAGATGTTCTTGATCTCTTGACCTTGGGATCCGCCCACCTCGGCCTCCCAAAGTGCTGGGATTACAGGCGTGAGCCACCATATTTAGGAATTAACCCATGCAGTTAGTCTTCATTTCAGGAGCTGGGGGGTCCCTTTAATGTTTCCCATGAAGGCTTGGCATATGTGTACATTCAACACACACACACACAACCTCTCCCCATGCCCACAGCCCGTCTGAGGCACGTGCTTGCCTGTCCCTGGCCGTGACTCATGCATATTAGCTGACTGCATTGTCCCGTGCCTCCCAAGTTGGGTCAACATGATCTGACTGAGTGGGAGAACCTGCCGCAGACCAACACCTCTTCTCCAGCCCTGTCCCAGGACAGCAGATTGCCATACCTCCAAAGCCTGACTTCCAATTCCGGTTGAGATCCACGCCAATGCAGAAGGTTCCAGGTCTGATGGACTTGTTCTTCCGCCATAAGCGGTTCTGGGAAAGCCCAGGTCAGGTGACCTCATTCACTGGGCCCATTCCCAGGGATGGGAGCCTCTCATATCCTGGCCTGTGGGGGTGGGGGAGCCTGGTGGGGCAGGGAGGAGCAAAGGGAAGGAATTGCCAGGACAGGATAGGGCTGGCATGAGGCTGGGCCAAGTCTGCAGCTCAGATACTGTGTAGTTGAAGTTGGGGTCTGGGGAGAGGCCTGGGCACAGGCTGCCAATAGTGGTCTTCCCTGGGCAGCAAGAAAGAGGTCAGAGGGCAAGAGGCTGCAGGTGCAGTATCAGAGCAGCCCACTGGCCTTTGGTGAGGCTTTCTGCAAAGCGGCCCTGAAGGGGCTGGTTCCCAAAGCACAGTGACCTTTTCTCCATCCCCCTAGGGCTTCCACCCTCCCCAGGTGCCCTCACCATGCTGTGGGTAAAAGCAAACCCATCAGGGTTTGTGACCAGCTCTATGAAGATGTCCATGGCCTTCAGTATGTCTGTCAGGATGGGGTCTTTGCCATAATCACTGACAATCTGCAAGAAAGGGTGAGGAGAGATGGGAAGCCCTGGGAGGTGCTGCAGGACATTTGCACAGCAGGTGGCTGCAGGAAGTGGGGGCATGAAACCCTCAGGTGTATCTTTTGTGCAGAACCGAAGCCTTGGATTTTCAACAACTAGAAGGCAGGGGATCAATGTGGGCTCTGTGCTGCAAAAGGCAAGAGCACGAGGCAGCTGCTCCAAAGACCAGGAGGGCAACAGCACCCTGAGTGTCACTGTTCAGCAGAAGGTGCCCTTCAATAGTAAGCCCCAACCCCCAGGTGCAGCCTCCATCATGGGTGCACCTTGACTACAGGTCCCTGCTGACCTGATTGGCAGTCCAGATGCCGGTGGCGTGGGTGATCCACTCCCGGGAGTGAATTCCAGTGTCAATCCAGATGGCTGGGTGCCGAGAACCTCCAGTGCTGAACTGAGAAAAAGAATCCGCCCCAAACCGAGGTTTAAACTCAGACAGCTACTGTCTCCAGGATGCCCGGAAGGAGGTTCTGGAGGCATCCTCACTGCCCGGGGCGGCTTTGCGCACCAGGTGAAAGGGTGCCTGTGCAGGTACCTGTCCATGTGCCCAAAAGTGCGCAGGTGTGAGGGCCTTTGGCAATATGGTGGTGCCCTTGGGGAGCAAAGTGATCCATCCAGAAGGACAGAATTTCCCAGGATTGAAAGTAACTGAAGACCAGGGTTTCTCAAACTCTAATGGGCACATGAGTCTCCTGAGGCTCTTATTCCAGTGCAGATTCTGACTTAGGAGATCTGAGGAGGGGTCTGAGGTTTCGCATTTCTTTTTTTTTTTTTTTTTTTTTTTT